AAGCCAGATGCCTTGTTGGAGCAACAAGAGATATTTCTTCCTTTTAGAAGAAGCAAAATTTTGAGTGCAAAATCACAGGGGGAAAAATGAACAATTATACTGTATAAGAGGAACCAAGATGGCGTCCTGAACTTTGTATACCAACAAGGAGACTTCTGTGGCCCTGATCTCCAGAGCAACTTTACTAATAGATGCTAGTTCTCCCTGGAGATTCTTGAAGCCCCAGTAAGAGCAGAGGGGACTGATTATTTTGCTGCCCTACCCACGGCACCACCCACCTCTGCCTCCAGGTGGGTCACAAACCAGAGCTTGCCCCTCTGACCTTCCACACTGACCAACTGACCCCCACTGCAGGTCTAACTGTAGATTAATCACAAGGCATATTCACATTTGTTATTTCATGGCCACATGAGGCAATATTATCCCCATTTTATTGTCCAGAAAACCAAGTCCTGGAGAGGTTAAGTAACTTGCAAGTAAGTTGTGGTATCAGATACAAACCCAGATCTTCCACGCCTAAATCCACTGGTCTCTCCATGACAACACAGCTGCCTCTTGAGAACTAGGGCAGGCAGCAAAAAAGAGGATCCCCAAGTTCTGAGACCCTGTCCAGCCCAGTGTTATAAATCATATTCTGTCTGAGTCTTGCCTGAACAGAGGTAGGGTTCTCCAGCTGCCTGCTTTCAACAGTCTGAAAATTCAAATAAATAGAATATGGGTTGATGGAACTCACTTGAAGAATAGGAAAAACAGCTCTCTGTTTAAGGTTATGGTGGAGTGAAGGCTGAAAACATGGATTTGAAGGCTTGCAAAGGCCTCTACCACGCTTAAACCCTTCATCCTTCTGTTCTCAGTGAGGCCAATAAACATACCTTCCTCCATTGCTATGTAATCCATTGGCTGATACCCCTGGGACCTCCTAGCAACACCCTGTCCCTGAAAATGAAATATAAATGACCTCAGCCTTATAGCCATCTCCAGCCATCTTACACTACTAGAGAGGCAGAACGAGCCTGTGGCACTTTGTATGGTGGCTCAGCAGTGCTTATCTCAACCATCCCCTGTCTGTAAGGCTGAAGGGAGCAGAAGTTCCTATAATGATATGGCCGGTGTTTAGAGCCACAACCGAAAGATGTGGGGTCCTTCCCATAGCCATCATCTTGGGAATGAGCTCCTCACTGGTCTTCCTTTGCTTTCCTTGTATGTCAGACAGCCCGTGGGCAGAAGAAATAATTTCACTTCAACCAGTATTTTTGAGAACGAGTATGCGTTCAACAGGGGCTTTGGGGAGATTCCACAGGTGATAAAGACAGACCAATTAACAAGTGTGAGGCAGCACTCATACACCATAAAGCATAATATACAATGACAACTTCAATGTCTACAAATGAGAAGCTGAGGTGTGGCAGTCTGGTTGGAAGATGCCTCAGGAACCTGCTTTGAAGCTGTATTTTCACAGCACCTAAAATCTGGAAAGATATCAAAGAATGAAAGACTGGTGGAGATTATGGGGAAGGATACATAAAGCCCCCCAAAGCACTCTTGCCTCTCCTACTAACTCTTCAAGTCTGAGGTATCTGTATTTTTATTTCTTTTCTGTCTCTCTTTCTCTTTTTTCTTTTCCATCATGATAAGTGTACTCTCATAAAGAAACAGACAACCTCTAGGGCCTGCGAAGCTGTGGCCTAATTGGCAGCCTTGACACAGAATGAATGACTGAGCACAAAGAACACAGCCTGCACAGAGCCTGAAAAAGTGGAGTCCATGGGCCGGGCCCTGGCACACTTTTCTACCTTCCACCAGGGCACCCCAAGATAATGCTGGAGTGAGCAGGTCCTCACTCTTTAGGACTGGGTACAACATACTTTCTAGCCACACTCTGTCCCAAGCCTCCATCAGACCATCACCTGTTCCCTTCCCCAGCTGCCTTCTGCCTCTGACTTTGATTTATTATTCATAATAACTCTCTCCTAGTCAGGCCTAGACGAGGGTTGTTGTTGTCCATTAACAATAAACTCTTAAAATTACTCCTAACCTGTGGCAGATATAAATCAGTCATAAACACAAGCACATTCTTGGAATTTTTCAGAATGACTTCCTGCATGATTTGGGATAGTTCTTCAGTAATTATCTAGGAAGACAGGCTTATTTGAGCCCTGCTAACTGTTCTTTTGATATTAATGCAGCTTTAAGCCCACAGCACTTCCTCCCGCCTCAGGGCTTTTTTCTTTCTTTTTTTTTTTTTTTTTTTTTTTTTTTTTGCATGTCCTTATTTCTTATTTTGAATGTTTTTTTTCCCTACAAATACCATTATCCCTGGTGTATCAGGCATCGTCCTAGCTGGAGACAGAGGGTACTCTTGAAGGCGTGATTAGAAAAGTATCTAATAAAAGAGACATTTACAAGATGTAGACAGGTGTTGTGGGTTGAATTGTATCCCTCAAAAAAAGATAGTTGAAGTCCTAAACCTAGCACCATAGAAAGGGATCTTATTTGGAAATAGAGTCATGGCAATGGACATAATTAGTTAAGATTGATGTAATTAGTTAAGATAAGGTCATACTGGAGTAAGGTGGGCCCCTGATCCAATATGACTGATGTCTTTGTAAGAAGACAGAAACGCAGAGAGAACACCACACGACCACAAAGGCAGAGACTGGAGTCATGCAGCTGCAAGCCAAGCCAAGGAACACCAGAGATGGCCAGCAAACCACCAGAAGCTAGGGAGAGTCAAGGAAGGATTGCTCTACAGATTTCAGAGGGAGCATGGCCCACCTGACACCTTTATTTCAAATCTTGAGGCTCCAAAATTGTGAGACAATAAATTTCTCTTGTTTTAAGCCATCCAGTTTGTGGTATTTTGTTAAGGCAGATCTAGGAAGCTAATACAGTTGGGTTATGGGAAACCAAAAAAAGATGATGGAACACCCTTGAGTCTGGCAAGAGAGAAACCACTACCACCCTAGGTCCAAAGCATGGAGTGGAGGAGACTTTACTAGGACCAGCAGCTGTAGAACAGGAGTTGGAGCCTCCCACAGAGGGAGGCAGGCATTGCCAATCCACAGCCTGGCAGGAAGGGATCTGGGGTAATAACATTCCACCTCTCTCTCTTTTCTTTCTCTCCAATCTCCTGATGATGCCTCCCATTGGCCAAACTAAATGGGGTGCCAGAGACCAAAGGAACCAGGTGGATGCTGTCCATTAAGATCAGCCTCCTCAAATATGAAGGAAAGCAGATCCAGAGGGACAGACACTATTTGGCAAGGCTGAGTAACTTCTGCTTCTGAACCTCAGCTGCAAAGTCACTTCTTCAGGGAAGAAGTGATCTCCTGACCAAGTCCTGGTGCCTGTAACATGCTCTCATAATCCCTCTGCATCTACAGAGTGCTTATCATAGCTGCAGTGAAGGAATTCATTTGGCAAATCATGAAGTGATGACCGGCTCCCATGCTAGAACGCAAGCTCCAAGAAAGAAGAAGCATATCCGTCATTTGTCAGGGAATCCTCAGAGATTGGTGCATGGTAAAAATGACTAGATTTATAGGATGTGCCAAGAGTGAGGCCACCTGATTAAAAAAAAAAAAAATCAAGTATGGAAATTCAGAGAAGTTGCCCTTGGCAACTTTCAAAGAATCAAAGAAAATGAGTACCTACAGGTAGGTAGGTAGGTTCTGATGGTGCAATTTGTCATTGCAAATAATGTGACCAGTTTGAGTACTTGTTAATGGTCCTCTAGAAATGGTGGGTGAGATAAGCAGTTGGGTAACGAGACGATGTCAAGGTAGGGAGAGCAACTACCATGAGGTCGAACCAACTTGAGCTTGCTTCTATCTGAATTTCCCCAGGCCAGTCTGGTCTCAGTCACACTGGAGAAAACAGAAAGTTTATGTGGGTCGCTCCTCTACTAGCATGAGAATTTATGTCCTACACCTGTCCTCAGACATTGGATTCCACCTTTGCTCCTACCTCTTCACGTACCAAATGATCCTCTTCCCACCTTCTGCTGCACTCTCCAGTTTCCATTATTAATTTACCTGTTTTGGGGCACCTAGGTGGCTCAGTTGGTTGAGCATCCAACTCTTGATTTTGGCTCACGGTTCATGGGTTCATGAAGCTCTGGGATTCCTTCTCTCCCTCTCTTTCTCTGCCCCACCCCTGCTTGCTCGCTCACTCTCTCTCAAAATAAATAAACTTAAAAAAATTACCTCTTTTATCAAAATTTCATAGATTACTGGTCTTGCAATTCAAAAGTATAGTCCCAAGAATTCAAACACTCCTCTCTTTTGAAGTACATATAAATTTAGACTGTCATAAACTGAAATGTAGTGGTGGTTTTTAAGTTTTTAACAGTATTTTGCTTCAGTATTTGACCTAAGAACCCTTCAGAAAAGAAGATAGATGAGCTCAATAAAGATCAGGAAATTCTGGCTCAAATTTGGAGACAATGCTTCATTGGATTTCTCTTTTACACTTGGGTGAATCACCCTTACCCAACTTTGCGGAGAGGGAGTTTGCAGTAAATACAGGGGTCATTGCAACATCCGCAATCCTCGTGCACATGCTATCTTGATCTGCTCATTTTCCTTTGATTATGGCTATAGATATTAATAATTCTTCTTGGTATTAACTGTTAACCTCACCACAGAGCATACAACATATACATCTAATATGAAAACGGAGAAACAATAGTAAACTTCTAGGGTGGAAAGAAGAAACCTTGTTATCAGCCAAATAAGCTGCCTTCACCTCCTCTCACTTATGTGGACCACATCACTGATCTTGAAGGTGGCCTTGTCATCCCATTAATAGGCAACAGGCTCTGTGTGCTTCCTATGATTGGCAAAGTCCCTCCTGGGGAACAGAGCAGCTGCCCATGGTGGCTGGTTTCCTCAGGCACAAACACATATCAGAGTGTGGACTCAGAGGAAGGACCGGGCAGAGGGCAAACAGAGGGGAAGAGGGGACGGGGAGATTCCCCAGGCAGAGGGGAAGCAGAGCTGTCCCTGAGGGGAGCCATGCCAAAGGTGTGCTCCCTCATCCATCTCACCCTCTTCTGGGCAGGTGAGTCAGATCCCGGAACCTCAACTGGACAAGACTCAACAACAATGAGAAATGGAGCTGTCAGGCCCTCACACTCATGGTCGGTGCCCTTTCCTCAGGGATCTCAGCCCCACCCTCTTGGAGCCTTCTCTTATTTTTTCTCTCAGGAGTCACGGCAGCTGTCACACTGGTGCAAGACCTAGTAGTGGCTCTGCGTGTCCCGCGGCAGAGGGATCGGGCCACCCTCCAATGCTCCATGGAGGGAGAAACAATCACTGACTACCCTATCAACTGGCACAGGAAGACCCAGGGTAACACAATGACTTTCAGATACCGAGAAAGACCCCATGTGGCCCTGGTTTTCAGGACAGATTCCAAAGTCAAATTGATGGTTCAAACAGCCAGCCTCTACTAAAGATCCTTGAGGCATCAGAAGAGAGGAAGGATCTTACTACTGTGCCAGTGACCCCACCCTCCTGCAGGTCCACTGCTGAGCAGCTCCAAACCATGGAGATCTATGTAGAACAGCATTTCCAACAAGATTGGGATTTTCTCTTAAACAAATCATTTAAGAAATGCGGGCCAGAGAAGGCTGGCTTTCCTTGCCTTCCCTTCAGGCCGCCTATGTACTCCCGTGGCGTTCAGACAGACCACTCCCAGTGGGGTGTGGCCAGGGGGGCGGCATGCAGGAGAGAGGAGAAACAAAGCCAAAGGCAGGAATTGTGGCATTCACTATACACTCTTAATGTTTTGGGGTTTGTTTGGGGTTTTTTTTTGAGTTTAATAAATGATTTGACCCCACACCCAAAGTTCTTAGGGCATGACACTTCTCAAAGTACAATCATGGATGATGTCCAGTTTCTTCCTAATTATATTCACCAGAAACTCAGGTACTCTATAGGAGGAGGTTGGGAAGACTCCACCCTTCCTCCAGCAGGAACAGTTTGCACCGATGCCCGGCTTGCCAACACGAAGGACAATATAGCATCTATATTGTTTTCATGATTACTCACTCACCGGATATGTCTTTTGCCTATCCTATCATCTCTATCTCTTGACTTCTGCTATATGTGGTAGAGACGAAACATGGACAGATTTCTTCTACTGACACTTCCTCATCCTTCTATGAACAGCTCAATTTAAACTCTACTTTAGGGGTGCCTAAGTGGCTCAGTTGGTTAAGCATCTGACTTTGGCTCAGGTCACGATTTCACGGTTTGTGGGTTTGAGCCCCACATCGAGCTCTCTGCTGTCAGCATAGAGCCTGCTTCAGATCCTCTGTCTCCCTCTCTCTCTGCCACTCCCCCACCGGCACTCTCTTTCTCTCTCTAAAAATAAATAACTAAACTTAATAGAAACAAAATACAATTTTTTAAAAGCTTCATTGGACTACTTCAGGCAATGTCTAGGGAAAACTTTCTCCAACTAATGCTACTAGTCAAAGATACTGCCCTTCACAGTATCAGGACAAAGAGGCTGGCAAGTGTTTGCCAGACACACAGTCAGCTCCAGTCAGGGCTGCTCCCTGTTCCACCGAGGGTCTTCCCAATCCCCCTCTCTCTCATGACCCTGCCTGAAATATATACGTATATATTTCATGATTCCCCATGAGCTCTCATCATTTATCTCCCCAAACAGCTCATTTCAACCTTTCAAGGAACCTCTCCTTTTTACTCTCCATATCACACCTACTCACTGTGTCCTGATTTCAACACAGGCCTGGGCCTGGCTTCTACCTCTCTGCCCACACTGTTGGGTTGCATCTTTGGCTGAACTGTCAGCAAGGCTCTGGGTATTCACTCTGCCCTTGGATAAAATCAAGTTCTCCAATCCCCATCTAGATTAGGCACCCTGAGCCTCACATTCTGGGAAAGGAGTTTGAACCCAACCTTCCTAGCTAGCATGCGTCCAGCTTACCACAGAGGCCCTGTCACAATTCACCAAGGCCTCAGCCTGCTACTTGTATCCAGTCATTCTTGCTTAAATGAACTATAGGTGGGAAGGTAGAGTGCATCTCTAAGACTAAAAGGGTACGATTCTTCTCTCAGTTTGAAATCATGACTTTGGAAAAAGAATGACATTTGGAAGCTAGTTACACAGATGGTGTCAAAATTTTGGAACCATGGTTTTAATAGGCCTGCAAGATGGAGTCCCAGGAAGAGACCCAAGGGGTCCTTCTGACAGAGACTGGGAAGAATGTCTTTGAGGAGAAGGAGGAGGAAAACTACGTGGACAAATCCATAAAACTGCAGGTTGGCTGTAGTAATAACTAACATCTGTCGAGTGCTTACTATATACCAGGTACTACTGAGCACTTGACGTGCGTTATGTGATTTAATCCTCTCAACAACCCTATAATGCATTTTCTACTATTATCCCCAGTCCACTTCCACTTTAGAAAAGCTAAAACACTTGTCCAAAGTACCACATCCAGTAAGGGAGGGCGACAGGTTTCAGGCTCTAGAGTCTGCACTGGAGGACACAGAATGTGATTCAGGGCAGGGCAGGTACCATAGAGGAGGCAGTCTCCAGGATGTGTCAGAAATATGGAACAGCAGGGGCTGTGCTCTCACCACTAGACCTATTCAAACCGATGATCTGTGACCATCTGTCAAGAAACTAGGACAATGCAGCAGTGGTCCCACACGACTTCTCAAATGTTTTCTGAGATTTTGTGATCCTGGCATAAGCTTCACACCATCTTCTAAAATCATCTGGATCTCTTTATCTTTGAAATAAGGATAATGAGTTCCAACTTCACCGTGTTGTAAAAAGGTAACGATAGAAAGTAAACTGCATTACACGTAGTAGCTATTCGTAGATGTTACTTATAAAAAAGAGCAAATAATAAAATGGGGTAATCAAGGAGAAAGCAAACTCAATTACTGAGCACCAACAAGATGCAGCCACTTTTCAGGGGTGAGCTCACGTAACCCTGTTTTACAGATGGGGATACTGAGCCTCAGAGAGTCTGAGGGGTTAACCTAAGGTTACAGAGGCAGAGCCAGAATCTGGGTCTGAGTTGAAGGCTGACGGTCCTGGCACTGGGCTAGGGGTTGGGGGATATACTGAAGAGATGTATCATCTGTAACAATATCTGAGTTACAGAATGGCTGGGAACCAGTGTATGACATCCAGTCATCTGGTGCTGCAGGCATTCTTTGACTCCTGTCCAGTCCCCAGAAGAGGGGAGTGGAGGCAGGGGTACCTAACTCCTTCCATCTCCCATCTCTCCATCCCTTGTTTTAAAACACCAGTTGCGGGGCACCTGGGTGGCTCAGTCGGTTGGGCATCCAACTTGGGCTGAGGTCATGATCTCGTGGTTCACGAGTTTGAGCCCCACATTGGGCTATGTGCTGACAGCTCAGAGCCTGGAGAATGCCTCGGATTCTGTGTCTCCTTCTCTCTCTGCCCCTCCCCTGCTCGTGCTCTGCCCCTCTCTCTCTCTCTCTCTCTCTCTCTCATAAATAAACATTAAAAAAATTTTTTAAAAACACCAGTTGCAATTTCAACCTCCAGGCTGTTCTCTGGAGATGCCCACCACCACCCAACCCTGGCTGAAGGAAGACAGCTGCTACCCAACCCCCTACCACTTAGACTCCTGAGCCCCACCCCCAGGTCAGCAGCTCTTCTCCCAGGAAACGGACCCACATATTCCTCCCCTCTGATGTTTGTCAAAGGCAATATCTTGTTGGACTCCCTTAAGAGTTTCTGGGGTGCTAATGTATTCACTGCATTCTCCTTTCCTTCTCAGGGGCCCGCCTGGAATGGCAGCTACAGGGGTCTGGGGCGAGTGTGAAGAGAATGTGAGAAATTCTATGGGTCTCTGGCAGATCCACAGGATGGCTAAATTTACCAGTCATAGATAGCTCTACTGTGCGGCAAAGTGTCTGAGTTTGTCTCCTCCATCTTTATTGACTTATTATCCTTATACGGAGGTAGCAAAAGGGCTCAAGATCTGTCATTTCCAGTTCTCTGCATTCAAAGTGAGCAAACCGACACCAGAGAGCACTGCAGTGAATTAAGGCTTTAGGCAGAGTCTTAGCTGCTGTGATGTCTCAGACAGGAAGTGCTGGCTGATAACTCTTCCCGTGCTAACAAAAGAGAAAAACTCCAGGCCCGAGGCTCCTTTCCTAGTCTTTATTTCAACATATTGCCCCCAAATATTAATTGAAATGGTAGGATTATACACCTGTAACTTTTTTCATCAGAGCACGTGATTCACTCCTCCAGCAAAAACCATCTCTCCTCTCTGCTTAATTTTTTTCCATAGCATTTATCACCATTTGATGTGCTGTATATGTTACTTGCTTATTTCTTTCTCTTTTAGCTCTCCACTGGAATGTAAGCTCCATGATGGCAGGGATTTTGTCTGTTTTGCTCAATGCCCCGACTCCAACACTTGGAGTAAGACTGGCACAAAACAGGAATTCAACAAATGCATTGAGGGACACCTGGATGGCTCAGTCAGTTGAACGTCTGACTCTTGATTTCAACTCAGGTCATAATCTCGTGGTTCATGAGTTCAAGCCCTGCATCGGGCTCTGTACTGACAGTGCAGAGCCTCCTTGGGATTCCCTCATTCTACCTCTCTCTCTGCCTCTCCCTGCTCGCACTCAATCTCTCTCTCTCTCAAAATAAAGACAATAAACTTAAAAAAATGCATTTGGGGGCACCAGGGTGGCTCAGTCAGTTAAGTGTCAGACTTCAACTCAGGTCATGATCTCATGGTTTGCAAGTTCGAGCCCCACGTCAGGCTCTGTGCTGACAGGTCAGAGTGTGGAGCTGCTTCCGATTCTGTGTCTCCCTTTTTCTCTGTCCCTTCCCAACTTGCACTCTATCTCTCTCTCTCAAAAATAAATAAACATTTTTAAAAATTTTTTAAAAATTAAAAAACACATTAATGAGCAAATGAGTGAAGTCTTTAGTGAGTGAGCGCTATGTACCCTGTGCTGTGCTGGATGCTCGGAGATGCAATCGTGCACAGGAATGATGCTAACTTTGCCTTCTGAGATGCTTTCTCCAAGCCTCATCTGTCCACTAACAAAGTGCTATAAACCGTAACAAGGTTTTCTAAAGGGTTGATAATAAGAGTCTGCCGGAACACCAAATAAGTTAGTTTTGGAGAGCACACATTAATGCCTCTATGTTTCTTGAACATTCTCCATGAGAGGGATAAAAGGAGAGGATGGCAGCCTTTCTCCTTTGCCACCTTTCGCCACCACCCCCCTTTTAATCCTAAGGCCCCAGGCCTTGAGTCTTGAATAGGGAAAAGCTGAACATTTCTACTTTACTTCACAAAGGAGTTTTATAAACTTTCTCTCCATGCAGGGGCTTGGCATTTTGTAACCAAAAACCACACTAACACATTTTCCCAAACAAAAGAGCAATCCTTAACCCCCTCATCCCCCTTATCTCCACCACAATCACTACTACCACATGCTTTGGGTATTCTTCAAGAATGGAGAATCCCTGGGGGTCTTATTTTTTTTTTTTTGCAGTTCACACATACACAAAGACATACGTTGTGAAAAGATAACAGTGTACAGTAGTGTGTATTAACTCCTGAAGGAGTTCTGTGGATGTTCAAGGGCTCCCTGGGATGCTCAAGGGCTCCCAAGGCAGTAGTCAGCCAGTGGAGCAGGGGGGCACCCAGCATGCCGCACTCAACAGGAAAAGGATCTGGTGACAGGACAAAGGGAATCAAGCCAGAATGCAGTTGCTTGTGCTAACTTAAACATGGCAAGTTCTCAGGGCGCCTGGGTAGCGCAGTCGGTTAAGCGTCCGACTTCAGCCAGGTCACGATCTCGCGGTCCGTGAGTTCGAGCCCCGCGTCAGGCTCTGGGCTGATGGCTCAGAGCCTGGAGCCTGTTTCCAATTCTGTGTCTCCCTCTCTCTCTGCCCCTCCCCCGTTCATGCTCTGCCTCTCTCCGTCCCAAAAATAAATAAATGTTGGAAAAAAAAAATTAAAAAAAAAAAAACATGGCAAGTTCTCAAACTCTGTTTAAATAAGAAATCTAATAGCCGTTAGCTTTTTATTTACCTGCATCCATGTGGGAGACTAGGGAAGTTTAAATTATCTTTCTCTGGCTTAAGGGCAAAGCCTCATGAGTATTTATAACTTTCAGAGAAAGAAATGTCAGTATAAATTTATTGCTAGGGCAACAAATTATTAAGAAAAAAGGCCAATTCAAAGTCTAGAGCTTTGGAGACTGAAGTTGCTTTCAGAGAATGTAACAACATTCATCTCTTTATGAAATAACAATTTGTTAAATACCTACTATGCACAAGGTACTTGTCTAGATACACAGGGTGCACAGTACTCAGAAGCTCTTCAGTTTATTTTAGTGAAAATAAGCACAAAGGAAAATAAGTAAGATAATACATGTTAGATGATTACAGTTGTCATGAAGAAGACTCTCAGGAAGACAAAGGGGGATGTTACCCAGGGTATGGGAGATAATCACTTTAAATCAGGTGGTCAAGGAAGGCTGCAATGAGAAGGTCTCATTTCAGCAAAGGCTTGGGGGAGAGCAGGGAGGGTGATATTCAGAGTCCAAGTATTTGCCAGACTTTTCAGTTAGAAGTAATATTTTCACGTCCAGGTTTGGGACCCATAATAGCACCAGCTTTTCTGTAGCCCTGAAGGAATAGGCAACAGGCTTTCATTCCTACTTGCTAACAGCTCTTTCACTAATAGTTCAGACTTTACGTTTTTCAAAACCAAGTGATGGAATCCGTTAATTAGCACAAAATGGGGAGGAAGCAATCCTGAAAAGGTCAAAATTTAGAACTTGAAAGGGAAAATGGCAGAACTGGATTACTGACAAATGCCATATGGGACATGTAACATCAAGCTGTCTGCCTTCTCTTCCTACTTAACATGACCACATTCTATGGGCTGATGAGTATCTCCCAACCGTAAAAGGAGAGTATACAAATCAGATGATGCATTTCTCTTGCTGGTCCCCAAGAGAACTCTACACCAGCTTCCCCAGGAGAGAATGTGCAGCCTCATCTATGCTTGCAGATTGAGGTACCTTCCAAAAATGGTCCCAATAGGCAGGGAAGCTAAATAAAACATGTGTTCACCTCAGCAAAGTTCTTGGTTTTTCCTCATCTCCAGGAAGCCAGCCCAAGATAAACCAGGGGGATTTGGAGTCACTGTGGAGAAAGCTGGAGTGTCTTTACAATTTCCCACAAAGCTTTAGGGATTTACCCTCCAGGGCTTCTGGGTGTGCTAGAACTACAAGGCTCAGGGTTGGCCCCAGAGTTAGTTTCCATCTTTACTTGCCACCTGACAAAAGTGAGTAACATCACTGAGGCAGCAAGAAGGAAAATCAGCGCCCACAGGGACAACACCAAGGAAACACAGCCCAAGTCTGTGTTGTCAGAAGTTCCGTCACATCAAAGGCTCCTCATGCATAAAGACTTCAACTGTGTTTGCATAGCACATATTACAGTCATGAGGGATTGATAGAGGATTAACTGTCTCCGTGGTCTAGAGAAGGGAAGGAGGGTTTTTCCATGCACCAAGTTTGTAAATAAAGACACAGAGAACCTCAAAGAGGCCAGTGTAACTGGCACCATAAGTTGAAATCAGAGCAGAGGCACAACAATCACATGTCTCCATAGTAAAAATCAACTTAAAAATATCTGAGTTCACAGCCCATCCCTTTCTGAGCATGCAAACCATCAAGTGTTAATGTGAGGGATATCCTCCTCAGCCCGATAGCCCTACTGCTGCCCCCACAACACACACACACACACACACACACACACACACACACACACGAAGAGTGTTAGAACAGTGTGAAACTTTAACCACCTCCTGGTTCAACCTCTTCAGGTGAAGAACTAGAAACTGAAGAATGGAGAAGTTAACCAAATTTCCCACCATCACACAACCAGCTGCTGGCAAAGCCATAGAGAGTGCTGGTATCCCAACTCCCGGTCAAGTACTCTTTCCACCACACTCTGACACCTGGTTGCCACAGGAAAGCACCCTCCCACTCCTGTATTCCAGTCCACATCCCTCCTATGCTATCCTCCCCTCCAGTCAGCTGGAATATCTTTCTCCTCCCAGCCAAGGTGAGCCATGTATAGTGCCCTTGCGGATGGAAGAGTAGGAAGTCTCTTCGGGGCTGTGGGAGTAAAGACCCCTGAAAGAATTCCAAAGGGCTTGACGATAGTTCTACCTTTGTTTTCTACCTCTTTCTGTAGAAACTCCTTGAAATCTCAAACCCTGCCCTGGGTCCTTCCTATGGGTGCCTAGCATCATACTGAGTGCACAGCAAGTGTACCGCATAAAGAAGAAAGGCTGGGCTTCCTCTCATGCATCTCAACCTAAGTAAACCCCACTCCTTAGGGACCCTTAAGGGAATGCTCCTCACTCCCTGCCCTCTGTCCCCATGCAGTGCCTCTGATAACCCCTGCTGAGGAGTAATGGCTAGAGCCTGCCTTCTATTCAGATACAAATTCCCCTCTCCTTTTTCCCCCCAAAATAAATGAAACCAACAATATGAAAATGCTGTTAAAGAGAAAACCAGGGGTGCCTGGGTGGCTCAATAGGTTGAGCGAATGACTCTTGATTTCCTCCCAGGTCATGATCCCAGGGTGGAGGGATCCAGCCCCGGGTCAGGCTCTGCACTGAGCATGGAGTCTGCTTAAGATTCTCTCCCTTTCTCCCTCTGCTCCTCTCCTCTGCTCATGCGTGCTCACGCTCTCTCGCTCTCTCTCTTGCTCTCTCTCTCTCTCTCAAATAAAAAGATATAGGGACGCCTGGGTGGCTCAATCAGTTAAGCGTCCGACTTCAACTCAGGTCATGATCTAGCAGTCTGTGAGTTCGAGGCCTGCAGTCTGGAGCCTGGCTCGGATTCTGTGTCTCCCTCTCTCTCTCTCCCCTTCTCTGCTTGTGCTCTGTCTCTCTCTCAAAAGTAAATAAACATTAAAAAAAAATTTAATAAAATATGGGGCACCTGGGTGGCTCAGTCAGTTGGGCGTCTGACTTCAGCTTAGGTCATGATGTCACCAATCTTGAGTTCAAGCCCCGCAGCAGGCTCTGTGCTGACAGCTCAGAGCCTCAACCCTGCTTCAGATTCTGTGTCTCCCTCTCTCTCTGCCCTTTCCCCACTCATGCTGTGTGTCTCTCTCTCTCAAAAATAAACATTAAAAAACATTTTAAAAAATTTTTAATAAAAGAAAATAATATATAAAAGAATAAAAAAAGAGAGAGAGAGAAAAAACAAATGAGATGCTATGAGATTGTAAGAACGACAATGTTATTCTCAGCACTGGTCAGCTCCTTCCACAGGGTCACAGTCCTGGCATGTTCCTGAGTTATCCCAAGTAAGTCTTAGAGAAATTAAAGTGTTGAACTGTGGCATGTGAAGAGTTATTACACATTGGGAAAGAAACCCACTAGACTGGAAGCTGTGTTCAAAACTTAGTTCTACCCTGTGAGAACTTGAACTTCTTACCTCCCTTCCCCAAGCTCACTTATATAAGGTAAAGAGGCCAGAATTGATACAGCCTGAAGTCCTTTCCAGTTCTTACCCTCTATGACTCTATGATCAGTTGTCCTCATTTCCTAGGAACTGAGAAAAAGAGAAAACATTCTGAGATTTCAGCAAAAAGAAGTTAAAAATGAAAATCTCCTTGAAATGAAAATCATCAACAACTGTAAAGAGGTACTAGTAAGAATAATTGATGGCCTACAGTCATGGGGGATACTTTTCTATCTACAAATCACTGCTCAAAGCAGTTTGCATGTTTTAATTTGTTTAATCTTTACAACAACCCATTGCCATTATTATCCTAATTTTACTAATGAAGGCACTGAAGCAAGGAGAGGTCAAGGCATTGCTCAAGGTCAGACTGCTGGTGAGGGCTGAGCTTGGACACAGGCCCAGGAAGCCTGCCTCCAAACGTACTTTGCCACACAACTCAGGAGTCTTCTTTTTCTGGAGTTTATTAAAAGCTATTTCTTAAATAATATCTATGGGCAAAAAAGTGGGCCTTGTACCTTCCCAGAGTCCTTTTTGACCGCAGTGGGCTTTACTCTGTAAGAGGAAGCCAAGTAAGGAAGGCAGAACTATTTCTGATTGGGTGCCCATGATTCTACCCTTATGTTATGCACCCAAGACTGACAGCTTCCATGGCATGTCTGTTGGCACTTTCCCACCTCAGTGTCCAGCCCGTGGTGTCTGCCTGGGCCGGACTTCCTTGTACTGGTCCTTTTCAGTAATGCACAAGTCACCATTTTTGAGGTAGTATGAGGTCTGTGTCTTACAGTTCTTATTAGTGCCTCCTCTTTTCCAGAGGTCCGGTCACTGAATTCTCAATCTTCAGAAAGCTCTCTCCTATCTAGCCTTGAGGATACTCTCTTGCAGGACCTCCCCAGTCTTAGGGTACATTTAATGCACCTTTTTAGGAACTGAGAGATCTTTTTCCATCCTTCCAAAGGAACCTATAAAGTGGGGCTACCAACCTATGAAGGGTAACATTTGTCCATCATCATGCTGACCATGCTGCCTACATGGGTTTAGTTCTGACTATAGTACTTGGCCAAGAAAACCCAATTCCCCTTAATGAATCCCAGCGATAAATATCCCCTAACCCCATTTCAGTGCCCTGGCCTTTTCCTTTAAAAAAATATCAGGATATTATCCAGGGGAACTGGAAAGAAAAGCTAGGGAAATTGAAGCTGCTCTCTTGCCAGAAATGCATTTTCTGAAGAGAGAAGATAGTGAAGGGTACTTGTGCCAAATCACATGCTGGAAAGAAGCTATCTGAGAGCTGGGGAAACTTCCACCTCCTAAGTAGAGCTAGCAGCCTGTTGAAAAAAAAAAAATGGGAGTCAGAACTTTTATTTCCTTTTGTATAACTTTAGAAAGTCAGTGAACTTCTTCAAGCCTCAGATGCTCATCTGTACAATAAAGAGTTTATATTAAATGATCTCTGCAGTCCCTTCAGCACCACCACCAACAAACTATAGGTCTCTGCCCAGGAAGAGAGACAAGGAAGAAGCCGTGGAACGAGAGATCACATTTGACAGATTCCCAAGATTGGGAAGCACAGATTTCAGCCTAGCTGATTCCTTTATGTGACCCAATGAGGATAAAATTTTTTAAAAAGAACTAAATGAAATACACTCATGGTTAATCAAAGGAGATTGAAAGTCATTGCTAACCTCACACCTACCTTGCTTTGCCTCCAGCTGACCTCCCTCGAGACACTCCTCCTTCTCTTTAATGCCTCATCATGATTCTCAAAAACTGTGATCACTCAAGGTTGAAGCTTTTAATCTCCCATGTATAAAAGGATATGCAAATAGAGTTCAGTTTCCTGTTGAGTCTCTGCCAAGGTCTTAGCCTGGCAGTTCTGGGAAAGGAGCCAAAGACCTCATATTTCTTGGCTGTTAACATTCTCCCATCTGTGCTCAAGTCAGCAGCCTGGGCTTCAGGCTATAGCTTGTCTTTAGACTTACACTTTCCTAGATTTTCTAAAGGAACTCTTGAGAATGTTTCTGCAAGAAAGTAACTTGGCACCCAAGTACCCAGACAGAGGATTATCTGATTATATTTTGGGACAGTAAGAAAAAGACCAAGAAGTCTATATTCCCTAAATATAGGCTTAGAATCTAATCTTGCAAGCTACTTGAGGTACTGATATTAATTTGGTCTTAGGCGAGGCTTGCAAATAAATCATCTGTGTCTCCAATACAGGGTGTCTCACATCATACATACACATGATGAAAAACACGAGGTCCTCAGGTATAACAGCACTGAAAAGCATTCACAAACAAAAGGCCTGAAAAACACAAGACATCTCAGAGTGTTTCTGGGCCAAGAGGGTCTACTAAACAAAGAATCAGGGATCAGACAAATTGTCCCCTGTGTCTCCCTGATTGAACTCACACGAAATAACAGCTTCCGATTTTATTCAACACAAGGCATCCAGCCCCAAGTTTATTGAAATATTGTTACCAATATTCTGATGGAAAATTATATGTTCCAAACTATGTTAAATCTGACCATTCTCTAGGCATGTAATTTTCTCTTTTTCTATAAATGCTCTGGGCTTATTTGTATTTTCTAGTATTTCCCTTCTGAAGCTAATTCCCAAAGGGCTTTCCTGTGCATTCTTATTTCCATTACAAGGTCAATGTACAAGTTAAAATTTTGGATTTCTTCAGAAATCTCTATGGAGAGACTTCCTCTCCTATTTCTTCGTTATCCCAGGCAGTTATCAGAAGCAATGAGTTCAAGCTTGGACTACCCTGGGACAGTACAACATTAATAAAAAAATACTCTCAGTATTATTGTTCCATACCTATCATTCACTTAATGTTTTCTGCAGCATCACTTTATAAATATCTTTCTCTAATCTTGATCCTTGGACTTCCTCTTTATAATATCATACTTTCTTCTTTGAAATCTACTCACAGGGTGTTGATACCCTACAAACTTTCACTCCTCAGTTTTTCCTTCCAGGATCCCGCATCCTGAGTTTTACATCCCCCACAAGAATTGTTCCCAGATCATTTGCATCTCAATAGGGAACGCAAACCAGGTCCCTTCCTATTCCTGTTCTGTTTCTCAGTCCTACCCCAACCCATGCAGGTCTAGAAAGTTAGCTCCACCTTGCGCCACTTGTGGGCATTTTTCTCAGAGATCTGTCCCTGGAGCGGCATTTGGGGACTGAGACTGAACTTCATTGATATTATGAATCTTGCAGGTGCCTAACTCAGAAAGACTTGAAAGTTTCTAGCTAACTCCAGGACCAGCTACTTCATCACTGTAATTTTCCATACACATTGAGAGAAAAAGTTTGGTCTTTCTACATATCACTCCTACAAAGGCTCAGAACTAAATCTTAAATTCTACAGGATATATAGATCCTATGAAGCTCCAGAGGGCAAAGGCTTGAATGCACCAGTTCTGTGGACTGTACAACATATGCCTTCTTTGGAAGAAAGAAGCATTGACACCTCAGACAACTCCAACTCTCCAGTCTGCATTTGTTCTCCTAATACCATACCTCATTATACTATGAATTTACCACAAATCTAGTCTACCCAAAGAAACCTGGAAAAAGTCAACATACTCTTGCATTAGTCTGGAGGCTCAAGGTAAAGTAAATGAATCTGACTCCAGGAGTAAAATCTTCCCCTCTCTCCAATGCAAAGACTCCAAGGGCTATGTATAAAGCAGGGTGCTAATCACCTTAAATTCCATTTGGATACATTTCTCCCAGTTCCTATACATTGTTTCTGCACAGAGAATTCAGTGATGAAAATTGAAGATCTATCTGACATATACTAATTAACTCAACTATCAGTGCAGATTGATTGTAGGGGATGGGGAGACAATTTTGCACTGAGATTTATTAACCTCTATTTTCATGAGGAAAATAATAGAGAAACTTACTTCCTACAATGACTTTCTCTCTGGATAGACTGTTTGCCAGGAGGGGTTAGGATGGTTCTGCCATGGCTTTTTGGCTTCCACACCCCACACCATCTGTCCTCCATCACATCTGGAGGAAGGATTTCTTTGTTCAGCATTGTCCACGCCATCACACTGATCCCAGTAGTCAGAACTTACTATACAGATTGGCTAATAAACCTGGAAAAGCCCATGTTCTAAGGGAATGGGTGGGACCTGGCTGCTGGGAAACTGCTCACATCCTCTGCTGACTCAGTATTCTACCAGCTGTTTAATCCAACAGATGCATCTCCTTAAGAGGCACAGGAGACCCAGAACATCCACATCCTGTGGTTCCCTGTACCCCTAACACCCCACTTTTGAGTTCCTTTCCAATTCAGAGAACAAAAGCCGCTGGCTCTGGGCCAGTTCGCAACAGATGTGGGTCGCAACCGCCAACAACCCAGGGCAGGGCATGAGAATCAGATTCTTAAAAATTCCCATACTTGTGATCCCATCAGTCATCTAACACCTGCTCAAAGATAGACTGGGAGACTTTCTCCTGAGCATCTTAGGGATTTAATGCTTTCTGTTGGGAATTAAGAAGACTGAGTTTACTGAGATTTAAGAAGACTGAGAGTTAAAGGAATCATTGAAAAGTAGGTATTACAACTTTACATGTACTTAAGGAAAACCTGCAAATCTACCCCAAATTCTGACATAATGCCTTCCTGTATCATTGACCTTGCTCATCCCACTCTCCAAATCCCACATGGTGATCACTTTCCATAGAGACATTCAAAGCCATTTGCACCAGGACCTTTCTTTACTCCACATGCAGGACAATAGGAATGGGATTCTGCTGATCAGAATGCCATTACTTGCTCATGCCAAGCCTTGCAAGGTCATTTCTTTGTACTCTGTCTGTGAGAGACTGTACCCTGGATATCCCTAAGTCTGTAGATTTCCTTACTATTTTTTTACTCCAGTAAAATGGTCCCTATTGTGTACTGTCTACTTAGTAAAGCTAAGAAAAATAGAAAGGACAAGGACAAAGTCCAAGGAAAGAAATAAAGACATTCATACCAGATAAAATACTATTGTGAACTTCAGAGTATTTATCACTTGAATTGATATTAACCTGATCTCCCCTCCCCAAAACACAAGGGTAAATATTAGGATGGGTATTTTCTTAGGGTCTTTGAAAGAAAATGTGAGACTATGAGGCTCCTGGGTGGCTCAGTCAGTTAAGTTCTGACTTCGACTCAGTCATGATCTCATGGTTCGTGGGTTCGAGCCCTGTGTAGAGCTCTGTGCTGACAGCTCAGAGCCTGGAGCCTCCTTTGGAGTCTGTGTCTCCCTCTCTCTCTCTACCCCTCCCCTGCTCGCTCACTCTCTCTCTCTCTCAAGAATAAACATTAAAAATTTAAAAAAAGAAAGAAAATATGAGAACTCGAGAAGTGCAGACTCCTTGAATCCTGCAGAATCCACCAAAAAAAAAAAAAAAAAAAAAAAAAGCACATAGCTCTGACTGGAATAATCCAGTCTTTGGTGATCCAAAGTCCTCTGCAAACTGAAAAACAGGTCATCCATGGCTCCCCATTCTTATCTTTATGTGTCTTTCCCTTGGGCCCTCCTCGCCATCACACCCCTCATATGCCTTCATTCTATTCCCACAAAAACCCGATATCAAAAATGACTTGAAACCAATTCACACTAATTTAGTGAATGACAGAAATAGATGGAGGCTTTGGTTTTTCTCAGGTTGCAATGAGAGGGAGGAAGCCTTGTATTTTAATCGAGACAATAGCTGTAAGCTAAAGACTAAGCAACCATGGTGACATTTTCAAAACTTGAGGAACACTGACCAAAATGAAAGATGGAAGCTTGTCCTCACTTTGTCTGGAGGCTTAGTGTGGATCATACAAGACAGTCTGGACTCTTCCAGAGCAGCCAGTTCTCTTCCAAGTATGTCCAAGAAGAGGCCCAGCTGGAGCACACAGAGGACATCATCTTGCCCAAGAAGAAAAGAAGGCAGAATTGGAGCAAAGAGGAAAAAATAGATATTTCAATAGCAGGAATAGCTTTGTGATATTTGACTACATTCGGCAGTGAAATAAACATCCTTGTCAGAGTGAGTTCAGGTGGATGCCTACACTGGGAATGTTGTCTACACTGGTCAGGCTAGAACTCGATAATATGAGCTCTTTTTTCTCCCTAGAATTCCTGATAGAAGTCTATGTGTTAAGAAAATCAGGACCACCACCAAAAAGCAACTGCAGTTAACTGTTTTGGTATATTCCTTCCCAGTTTTCTTTTTCAACGTATAGATTATCGCTCTGTATATGTAATCTTACTCCATATGCACATTTGTATATTTGTTCACATTACATAATCAATTCTTTACATTATTAGATACTTTTTCCAATCAGCATTTTTTTATTTTTATTTTTTTTTCAACGTTTTTTATTTATTTTTGGGATAGAGAGAGACAGAGCATGAACGGGGGAGGGGCAGAGAGAGAGGGAGACACAGAATCGGAAACAGGCTCCAGGCTCCGAGCCATCAGCCCAGAGCCCGATGCGGGGCTCAAACTCACGGACCGCGAGATCGTGACCTGGCTGAAGTCGGACGCTTAACCGACTGCGCCACCCAGGCGCCCCTCCAATCAGCATTTTTAATAAGCTACATTAATATTATGTCTAGGAACAGACTATAGTTTACTTTATCAGTTCCTTATGACTGAGAATTTAGAGGGCTTCTACATTTTTCCTATTATTAAAATTGCTGTAATGACCGAGACAGCTGGGTGGCTCAGTTGGTTAAGCATCTGAGTCTTGATTTTGGCTCAGGTCATGATCTCGTGGTCCGTGGGATAGAGCCCCGCATTGGGCTCTGCACTGACAGCACAGAACCTACTTGGGATTCTCTCTGTTCCTCTCTGTCTGCCCCACCTCCACTCACACACTTTCTCTCTTAAAATAAATAAATAAATAAATATTTTTTAAAAGTTTCTGTAAAGACCGTATGTGTATATGATCTTTTCATTATTTAAAGTTAACATATATGTATATGAGAATAAATACATATATATAAGTTTATTTATACGTAAATCTGAAGTAGTCCTCATTTCTCTCATTTAGAAGATTCAAAAT